AAAATTTGATTTCTCAACATTTTCATCTCACATAAGTGTCAATAATCTTTCAGGAGTGCGATAGGTTTGTTTTATTCGTATGGATAAAAACAGCCACGGGTGAGCGGTAAAATTAAACCTCTTATTCCCCTGCGTATACCCCCCTAAGATAACGTACTAATTATTGTTTTTGGGTCATTAATTTGATGGTTTATTCGATTACCATAATATTGAACGTCACTAAATTAATGATAATATATATTTACGGCAAATATTTTGGAATTTGGAAATTTTCCTAACGGAAATTTTAGTAGAATACCATGTTTAACATTGACGATTCGCATGAAAAATACACTAACTGAAATAGTTTCTAGAGATGAATTAGAATTTAGAAGCTCAGCTGTTATAAAATTAAAACAAAATAAATAACTGCCACTGCGGCGCCTATTTTGTAATTGTATCAATTTAAAATTGATGGCCACGAGCTATACAAGTGTAAAAAAATGTTGCCTAAGTCCAGTGCTATGGGTTTTAATATTATTATTTTTTAGATTGGTAATATATTTAAAACTAAATTTATATCTTCCTTCTCACATGAGTATGCTATATTGGCCGTGTTGCACAAATTAAACCGTTTATAACCCTAAACAATGATAACTACAATAATAGTAAAAATAGAAAGTAATTTCAATCAGTGATTGATGCCTAAATAACGATATTGTAAATCATAGTTCACAGAAAATAAAGATTCATGAATATATTGTAAAATTGTTTGATATTAGGTTAGTACCTGAATTTTTGTTTGAAATCGACATCATCGCACTTTATGAGCGAATTTGATCTATCCAGGGAAATTTTTTATAAATATCTCGGTAGAACAGACAGTACCTTGATAATATAACTACTCTTTATCATTTGATGACGATGACAACGAATCCATAATTTATATTTTAGTTTAATTTCCAGTGGTTATACGATTTGCAATGCACAAATATAAAAAAAAAAAATAAACTGCGAAAAATGCTTATTAAATACATTAATAACGCCGACCTGTAAATTGTTTTGTAAGAAGTCACAGATACGAATTTAGTTCTAAAAGTTACAGCCACTTACAGGTTGGTAAATAATATAGAAAGTTCGAGCAACATCCAATGTAGTTTACAGATCTGCAAGTGCCCTAATGGTTCGTTACAGAACGTTTGTGTATAATGTATTGTGTGTACGTGTATTGCGCACTTATCTACAAGTACTGATGATGAAAATCTGTAATTTATTTTCGTTTATTCGCAGCAACAGCAACCGCCGGTTGGGCGGATAAACAGCAAGACCGCAACCATTGTTAAAAAGCAATTGGCCACGATCAACGGCAACGCCACGAAAAAACCTGCAATCAATGACGGAGCCCACCACAACAGTCTGGCGGCCGGTGACAGGTCACCCGCGGCCATGTACAACAATAACAATAGCCGACTGCTGCTGCCACCAGTCGTACAGCCGACGGTGATCAATGCACTTGCGGCGGGCGCGAGTGCGGCCGACGCGGTAGCCAGTGTAGCCGCGGCGACCGGGGCTAATCTCCAGAAACCGTTGGTTAGAGCGACCAAATTGCCGCCTGCAGCACCACAAAAGCCAGCCGCACCGTCAAACCGGCGAGCGGCCCCACAGTCGCCGTCCAAGGTACAGGAGACGGTCGGCCCGAAACATTCTGCTGCAGTGACCCAGCGCTTGAAACCCGCCACGAAACCGCCCGTAAAGCCCGCAGCAGTCGCAGCGAAGCCTGCCGCGAAGGCCACCACTAAGCCAGCAGTGCCCGCCGTGTCGACGACCCGGCCGCTGAGTGTAAAAAAACAGCTATCGGCGGACAGGCCGCCACCGGCTGCAGGCATGGCCCGTTGTCCGCTGTGTGCAAGGGATTTCGCGGCCGACCGTCTACCCAAACACGAAGAGGTGTGCCGGCGCACCAAGGATCGAGACCGCAAGCGCAAGGTGTTCGACGTGAGCAAAAAGCGACTCGAGGCGGTGGCCGCCGAGGCTGGCGTGGATGTGGCCTCGTTCAAAAAAAAGGTCAGTGTAACGTTATCGACGTGTTAAAAAACTAATCTAGTTTTAAGGTGGAATAGTTAGTAATTTATTAAATGTAGCCTGGGTAATGGTAAATATTTTTTTTTCTAAACGATCCGAAAATACCTAAATTTGATGGTAAATGTTTTCTTTCGGTCTCGTTCAACATTTAAACGCCCTGAAAGGGATCAACTCAGGTTCCTTGTAAATTAAATGGACTTACCTGAATATAATTTTATTTATTTTTTTGTTGTTTTATTGTTTGCAAATCAACAGAGCATTTCAAATATATGAAAAATATGAACATTTCGGTGAAAAAGTCTAACGCTGGGGTCGTTATGAGTAAATTTTACAATATAATACTGGCTAATTTTAACGTATTGTACATGCATGTTGTAGTTGCATGTCAAGAGAACTTTTAACTACAAAATAAAGTCGGATTATTCGTGTTTTTAACAAATGTTCTCATCATTTTGAATCTAAAACTCTTAATAAACGAACGACAATATTATTATTCTATTTTTTTTCACCACTATTGAGTGTAAAAAACGATTAACTAGGTAATTTCAAATAGCTCGTTTACCTCAAAAAATGTCAGGCTATTTTTACAACCGAAAAACCTATAAAGTGCTTATATAAGCATTTATTTTAAATTTTAAATCTTCACTGAATCGAACAAAAAGAGAACAAAATAGATTTTAAAAGAAATATTACCATTGTTCCATAAATATTCCTGTTTATTCGGGTTTCCGTCATTATTAAGAAAAAAATACATATAAAATCGAAAAACGATTTTCCAATGATGCACCGAATAGCCAAAATTTGCCACCAAAATCTATCCGTGGACTTCAATAAACGGAGCGTGTATTCTGATTAAAAGCTTGTTTATATTGTTAGGAAAAAAAGGTTAAAAAAGACACCAGCCATCATATTATATTGTTATAATGCAAATAGTGCATTTACTTTGTCATTTCACTCATTATCCAAAACTATGAGTAATTAAAACTAATTTCGCTAATTTTAAAAATATCGAATAAATACATATTTCAAATATGAGCTGATACTGCTGATGCGGCCGCATACGAATTGCTTCCCTGAAAACGGAAATATTCGTCTCGATAACCGAGTTGCGTCCTCGGTTTTTCGGCGACCGCTCCAAGTTGTGTCTGCAAGAATAATTGTTACTCTATTTCTATAAGTGTTACAATAAACTTGTTAATATTTATGCGTCGATTATTTATTATCGATACCATATTATAGGTTGGTAAATATTACCTTATAATCTATAGTTGGAAATTTGTTCCTGTCGCTCGTGTCAAAAATGTTCAAACTGATATTTATATTAGAATGCAAAGCTCAAATTTAACTTGGAAAAAATATCGTTTATGGACGCGATTCGAATGCGCCGAGTATAATATATGTTGTAATGTGATATGTCAACGCTGTGGCTAAGAAAATTAATATTTATATCTTATAATAAAGTAAAACGATTTTTTTGTTTACCCAGAGCCAAAAGGAAGACAAGCGGGCGGCCGAGAAACTACAGCGGAAGAAGGACGCGTGGCGCCGGAAGCATGACGCGCTGGTCCGGAACGTGCGTAACGCGCGGGCCGTGCAGGCTCACCTGGCTGCTGGCGGAAACCTCCGGGACCTGCCACCCGAGCTGGAGAACCCGCCGGGCGGACAAGACGACGAGGTCGACTCGGACCTAGTCAAGTGTCCGCATTGCGGTCGAACGTTTAACGAGGCGTCCGCGGAACGGCACGTGCCGTTGTGCGCGGATAGGCAGCGTAATGCGGCCGCCCGGTTGCAGAACAAAAAACGGTGAAAACCCGTCAGCCGTTGTGTTGCGCCTTCGTTTTTGGACATGCGCCGTTGTTGCCAAATTTACGTTTATGCCCAACTCGGGGATACAAAAAAAAAAAAGACTTTTCCTGTTCTATTTCTCTCGGCCATTCGAAATCCTTGAACCTACCAATTCCGCGTTTTCGTTTTAATGTTTAATTATAGTACACTATAATATTTCGGTTTTTAATATTTGTAAAGTAAATACTTTCAGTTTGGCACTGATACTTTCCAACAGCGATTTGTATTTATTATTTTTTTTTTTTTCCAAAAGCCTCGAGCCTCTCGATCATTTTGAAATAATGATATTATATCACTCTCCCCCCAAATTCATCTGCGTTTTGGAGAGAGGTTTCCGCGAACCGAATTCCGCGGTTAAATTATGAGTATTCGTGTAAAGGTTATTATTATTTTTTTTTTAATATTTCAATATGAAATCCATATGCGACCGCTACTACAAAACGATAATCAATTCAATTTGTTATATTATTATTTATCATTTTTATCTTTTGTTGTTGTATAAACTATTATTAATTAATTATTCATTACAATAATATTAGGATAAGATTTTTATAGAATTATACGTACTTGGTCTTTTTTCTTTTTACGATTAAAGGTATAATAATATCGGTACATATCAGTAAATACCTCGATTTTGTGATTATGCCTATATGAGTTCGAAATTTGAAATTTAGGTAATTATTTTTACATTTTTATTCCTTGTTGTATTTTTATTTGGGTGTACCTATTCGAACTTATCTACCGGAAACATTGTACCAATGAAGTCGTTGAGGTCGTTTTACATATTATTATTTCTGTTGTCATCTTATAAATTATAATTTTTTAGTTCGTTCAAATATTACTATACCTGGCTATTTTGGTTTCAATTTTAAATCATTAAAATGATCAAATATATTTAAAAAAGACGATATCGATGATTTGGATGTTATCGATTTAATTTCAGGATATTTTATTTCCATATATTCCAATTTTTCGTGCTACTTTAAATGCATTTTTTATTTATACATTTATTTACGAGTATTAACCATTTTAATAATTTTGTTATTACTTTATTATTTTATTACCTCTTATTTTGGTTATTTTTAGTGCTAAATTATTATGTATATTAAATAAATTTGTCATCCTGTAAGTAATTTTTGAATCTTTTATTAATCTGGATATAGTCAATTTGATTGAAATATATGTCATTTAGAGCCTTCTGAGTTCTATTATATATATATTTACGCGGAGACATTGTGCTTATCACAATAAGTCTTTTATCAATATTAGAGTTTATAAGCCTGAGTCCGTTTTCACTAATTATATCAAGAAAGTTATGAATCCCAATCGTTGTTCTGAAAACAATTTTTCTCTAACTTGGCATTAAAATTCTCAAAGACATCCCGATTCTACTTCGTGGGATTACACTTAGTGTGCACACTCGTCCTTCTGCTCATGTGCTTTTCATTCCATAGATGCGTGTTTATCAAAGTAATGCAGTATCAAGGAACCATCCTTTTATTGTTAGCACTAATATCCTTGTGTTGACACTTTTAAATTCTATTAAAAAAATAACTACACTATTGTCTTGAATATCTAGATTTCTTTGGTGGCATTATCTTATTTCTTGTGAGGCCACCACTTCTAAATTGTATCTCTCTGTTTCGTTGATAAAGGATTGTACTATGTCAGGTTTTAAAAGTGTTTGAATATTCCAAGTTCTAAAATGTTATATTTTATTACCCTCATTTGTAAAATTGATATCTCTATCCACATGAAATTTTAATTAAAATAAATGTTGGTGATAGAAGTTGGTGATCAACCCATTGATGAGATGCTTCACTTTAATTCTACCGATACATCAATGATACTCCACTACTCTCCCCTTACCAAAAACTAAAAGTGAAAAATCTCGTTAACGGATTGACGGAAACCAAAAATGTTAACACTGAAATTAATTTTAACGAAAATATCATTCATTTGTAGATTTTTTAATAAAGGACGCTCGTTGAAAATTAAATGCAGGTAGAAGTTTTGACCCCAAATATCAGGTTGACTAAAAATTACGTTTATGCAACAATCTAGAACTGTTTATTTCTTAAATTATACTAATGAATTAATCTAAAAAAAGTTAATACTTTCTGAAATAATGAGTGTCTTATTGAAAGCTGACCGTTATGCAGTATTTCAATGAAGTGTTGAGAGGTATTTTCTTTCTTACAAAAAATATTCGTTTGTTGGCTCAGTTTTGTTTTATATTTTATACAAAGTTAATGACTAATATTGTGGTATCGGATTCACTTTAAACTTTAAATAGTGTTAATTCTTAATTTAAATTGACCTAGTGCTGTAATGAACAAATATATTTAATATAAAAAATTAAAACCAATTGAACTATTTGTTAGGAATATTGTTAATTGTGGATGTTTTAAACTTATTAAAATGTTTTAAAAAGCTCCGAGCAGGACCATTCAACGTTTAAATTATATGTTTATAGTAGTTATTGCTATAGAGTTTTAAACAAAAAAATATATAACACGCTTTTTTTTCGTTTTTCAAAAAATACGTTAAATTTATTAAGTTTTTTGAATTGTTATTAATAATAACTTATTATACATATTGTGTGTAAAAGAATAAGTACGTTTTAACCTTCCCCATCGCACTATGATATTGATCGATAAGAGCATAGTTCGATCCCATTATTACTACTAATTACTATTAGCATAAAGTAATAAAAATACATTGTGACATTGTTCGTTTTTCGAAGTATTACGATCGTTCTCTTCGTCCGAATGTTCAGAAAATTAAAAAAAAACACCGGATTAAAAATTTTCGAGATATAGATATTATTCATACCGAATTATATTATATTTTGTATATTGTATTATTGCATTTTATATGTTTATTTCCTGTTAATTGTAAAGTTTTTTTTTTTTTAGTTACAATAATATTATTTTACATACCTACGTTACATAATATTGTTAATTATTAATCAGTCCAATATGAATATTATAATATTTGAGCATTTGACCTTATTAAATTCTCACTTGAGATCATTAATCAATTAATAACGAAATAATAAACGTACTTGATAAAAATAAAATGTTCGTATTATAAGGCTCAAAGCTGTTATTCCTCTCTTAAACACTAAATAATATAACAATGAAATAGGGTAAACAATAAAAAAAAAAAGTGCTGATACTGCTGATTGGTGTGCCAGTATTACAGTTGGAAAGTTCGAAAAGTAGGACACTAATCAATGGTTTCGAAAAACGGTTCTAAAAGAAATTAGGTTAAATATGTTTTAAAATGCCGTTATTTTTGAGATAATGAACTAAATTCGCAAGCCTTTATCTACAACAAAGACAATTTTGTTCATAAAGAAACAAATAAAAACTAAACAAACAAAGAACTGATACTGATGACGGTGCGCTACTATTGTAGGTGGGAAATTGGGACGATAGGGTACACAAAATTAATTAATTAATATCAGTAAGCAACAATAAACCATTGCTAACGAAAAAACAAATCTGAGCGGAATTCAGTTAATTTAGTGATGCGTTGTCAACAATTATATAATCTATGTCATGTAATGGTAAAATAATTAAATAAGCATTATATATTTTCTTTAATAATATTTGTTTAATATTTTTTAATATTTTCCTATTTTTAAGTGTTTTTCACAGTTGCTGGGAAAATTCTTGGGAAAACCGAAAATGACCCCCTTTAAGTATATTTCCAGTTAGATTTCCTTTCAGAAAAAATGCTATCATTATAAATCTGAGCAAAATTACTGGTAAAAAAGTTTGTACAACAAATCGAAGGGTATTTTTTGATTAAAAAAGTCTGAGCGATCGATAGCTGGGTCTCTAGGTACACCTAAAATAAATGCAAAACAATTGTTTGAAACCCGGATTTGACCTCGCGATCTCTAGGATGACAATAGATACCTATAAACATTAGACTACGACAAACATAGTTTAAAGTTGAAAATGTAGAGTTATTTAACATAACACATAATATCAGAACTTTAAAAGGCTATAATTTCGAAACTTAGTCCGTTCAATTCTGTCTTCACCATCGTTCTTAAATCGTCTACACAGGGTGTTTCACGAGGATTCGGCAAATGCAATAACTTTGTCAACAATATGCCATATTATAGTAAAATAATTAAATAGGCACTATATATTTTCTTTAATAATATTTGTTTAATATTGTACTGATTTTCTGGGTTTTTCAAATTTTCTGAGAAAACTCCGGGGAAAATGGAAAAACAACTTCTTTAAAGTACCTCGCCAGTGAAATTTTCCTTCAGAAACATTGCTATAATTAAGATTTAGAGCCAAATTTCTGGTTGAAAAGTTATCCACAGAAAAAAATAACAACTTTGTAATTCCATAAAAAAAATTAATACAGTTTTCAATATTTATAGGCTGTTTTAATTCAAGCATTACTTACAATATATTGGTCTACACACGCAATGCAAAAAGTGCATGTTAAAATTATAAAAGTATCTATACCGGAAAAATAGTTAAGTTGCGATGTATAATTTACGATAACTTTATAAAAAGGTATTTGTTTAAATTTTTCATCACGGCTACTTCATCGTAGATTATTGTATCACTGAGACACTTTATTGTGCTACCTTATAATTAAGATATCGTATATCTTTAATATAAAATACAAATAATATCTATATATTATATTTTTTGAGTAAATATTATATTATTAGTTTTCCCGCGTGACCTCGTTCATACTACACTTCATAGAGTTTACTAAATCGATTGACGCTAATTTAATGATTATCAGTCCAGGTTTCAGATTTTTATGAATAAACACCCAAACGTTTCTTATATGCATATAATAATATGATAACTTAATTTCAAAAGTAATTTAGTAAATTACTAGATAGTTTGGTTTAGTTCAGACTAGTATGTTTTTTCAGGCAGTGAAAATTAAATCCATTTATTTTAAAATAAATATCCAGGTTGCTTTATTTTTATTATATTTGTTGAAAATTGTTATAATTCTTGTTTTTTCCATTAATTTTGGTAATTGTTGCGGCACATTTTTTGAAGTCTGTCAGTGTTAAACTGGGATTAACTCATTTCCGTTATACTTTAGGGCATTCTATTTTTCTAAAAATCTTTCAAATGTTCGGTCGGTTGATTAGAATAGAACATTTTTTATACGATGACATTTTGTATAGTTGGTCTTTGGAAGTCCTTTCAATATTTCTCAACTAATACTGATAGAGCATAGTTAATTAAATTAGTGGACTACTTCATCCGGTACCACGGAAATTGGCGTGACTTAACAAGGTATCTTCGAAATAGTTGACTAAAGGACTAAGTAAATAATTGTTGTCCTTAAACAAACAGGTATTCAACAGTCTCATAAACAATATTGTGTTATAAATGTATAATATTTCAGACGATTAATTGTTCAAAGATGAGCGTTTGTAAATCCTATATTATAGCTAATCTATAAAACAATCTATTGCTGTTTATCTACCTGTGTTGTTCAAACATACTTGCCAATGGTTTATAGCGTATATTATAAACATTTAAATATAGGAAAAATCTTGTCTGGAAAATCTCGCTTGGACAAAATTTCGTAAAAAAAAAAAAAAGACACCAAATTAAATAGAAAAAAACAAACAACAAATTAAACTAATTTTTCTTGAAAACTTCTTTCATATTTTATCTTAAAACTGCTTGATAATTAATTTCAAAAAAAATTTGAAATTCATTTTTCATAAATTCATTCATCAAACGGTCGCGTTTAAATATCTATTTTGGATGTGGGTATAATTTTTTTCAAAATGTGTATTATATTTAAATTAATTTGTATTATAATTAAATAAATTGTATATATTAGTTATATATATATTACGGATTTTTAATTTAGTGAGGATTATATATGAAATTTAGCTCATGAATGTCGGTTACCTATATTAAATTGTTTTTATCTTAATAACTTGTATAATGTATAGTTGATATATTTAAAAAAAAAAAGAATTAATAATGTCATTATACAATTTAAATTAAAATAATACAACTTTGAAAAAAAAAATGTACTTTCATCCCTAAAACAAATTTTTAAACATGCCTAGGTTTTTAATGAATATCAAACAATCTTGAAAATTTACTTTTAGCCATATTTAATGTAGGCAGAGTTTTAAGGAAAAGTTACCACGAAAAATCCATTTGCCTTGTAGTTTGTTTTTTTTTTACTACATTCTGTTCTATGGGATTTTAGCAACAGAATTTTGGGGGCAGCATATGCAATTACAAATCAATAATGGATACATACAATATAAAAAAAAATAATATTAATATAATTAAGCTATGTCATGTAACAATGAAGCATACATTTCATGATTAAAAAATATTGTACGATGTACAATGGGATCAGTCACAATGATAATGTGTTATATAATACTGAAGATGATTACAGCTCCGATACAACACTGAATTCGATCGTGTAATTATTATTTTTCAAAAGATGGTGGCTTTAGTTAAAATTGTTTCGTGAGACCCTAATGTTTAGCTGAATCTAGTGTTCCTCTATTATTGATGGCTCGTCTGCGGTGAGTTTAATATAATATGCTCATGAAGCCCAATTGTTAAAAAATTTGTATTTTACCACTTTCAATGTATCATAATATTAAAATATGTAAACAGTTGAGTATTTAACAGTTTATATTATAAGCTTTATTCTATAGTCTGTCCCAGGAGAGAACGGTCCGCTTGTGCGCATGATTTCCCCCTCCACATAACTTGATTTCAGCGAAGGCAGCCGATTGTCATTTCTTCCGTCGTCGGTTTTTGACTATACACCGCTAGGATATTTTGTAGAAATTCAATTGTTATTATTATTAGACATCGCGCATCGCACGTTTATTTACCTTTGCTGTTTTATAACCTCTTGATAATTTTTCAAATCGTAAACTATCGTATATACAAGCACCTTCTATAATAATCCAGACTTTGTTNGCATTATTTGAAACGCAGTGTACAAAACCTGCACCACTTCTGCGGTCGCCGTTGCTGCGCTGTCGATAGATCCGGGAGGGGATAAATGGATAGTGTTGCGGCGTGGGGATGCGAAGTAGCGCTTCGATTTGGTCGGAGAGCGGACCGTTCTCTCCTGGGACAGACTATAATATTTATTTATGCAGCTACATAAATAACATTATTATAGCCATGCCATCGGTCATGGAAAATTCTAATTTTCTAATTTTTTACCAAGAAAAGTGATATTGTAGTACAATAATTAATGGACTACATCTATAAATCGTTTTTTTTTTTTATTTATTTAGTAATATTATTTTCTAATATATCAGTAGCAATTGAAAAATCTGCTCTTCATATGTTTACTTCTCTCCCTCAATTTTGTTTCAATTATTAAAAATAATCAATAAATTAGTAAAAAAATATAACCTTTGAACTATTATTTGGAGTGTAAATTTTCTCATTGCCTGTTGTAACTTTAATGATTTAAAATCTGTTAGTTCAAACAATATGTTTTTTAACAAACGTGTATAAATTATACTAACATGATTTAGTAACCAGTGATAGACTACCACTGAGAGCAGTCAGCACAATGTTCATTATAAATTATCGCCTTACCTATATTTTACATATTATATTATCTTTAGTTAAATAACTATTATGAATTTTAAATTGAAAGATACGCATATTACAATCAATTTAAAAAAGAAATCAATCCTATTTCATGATTAGAAACAGTTTAATTCCTATACATATTATCATAATATATGTTTGTTTATTATTATGAATAAACAGAATTAATTTTTATTGGAATAATCTACCCTCTAAACTATAAACTCGTCTAAGACAAAAATACGAAATATAGAACCTAATAATAAAACTAGGTAGGTAAACAGTATTTAAAACGGAACAGTAGGTTTTAAATGAAAAACTAAACAACAGATGAAATTTATGATACATTTACAGGATATTTTTTATTTTTACAAATCAAATTACGTATGTATCTATAAATATTAAATATAATGAAAAAAAAAAATTATAAACTTAATACAGTTTTAAATCACACGAGTAAAACACACACAATTTAAGATAAATACTTTAGATGAAACTATATAATTAGAGCTTAGATTAATTGTTAGATAATTGATAAATCTCATAGTACTTACTAAATAACCTATAGGGAATACAATTTTTTAAGTTAAAATAGATAATATAGAGGGAGTTTAAGTAACAAAACATGACAAAGGAGTGATTATAATATAATATATGTAGACACTTCCGACTCCGTTACCTTAATTCTAGTTACTAACTACTACAGATGAGATATATTGTTACAATATAACTATATTAATACTTTATTTAAATTCTTATTAATTATTGTGTATTAAATATTTTATAACATTTTTAGAAATGCATGAACAATCTAAATATAATTGCTAAAACCATTTGCAAGAAAAAAAACACGTTTACATCGAAATATGCATTTACTCAGTGTTGGCAACTATAAGAAATTACAGTACCCACTGTAGTGTACAATTGGTTGATAGTTGAGATGAAGATGTAGAATAAAAAGAAGAACCTTGATAATAAATTTAAATGGTGGGCATATTTAGATAGGTACCACAGTTTACTAAGGTAGCCTCAAAATTACAAAATGCAATGTATAAAATAGTATGAATAAATACTTAAAATAAAATTTATAAGGTAACAAGTATATTTACTTATATAATAAATAAGTAGTTGATTATTGCATTAACGTATTGATGTTAAAACTAATTTCAAATACTTGTTATCTATAGTATGAACAACAAAATTAATAATTTAATAGTATCAAACACATAAGATTAATTATATCTACTAACTACTATGTGTGTCCACTAGTATAAAAACGATACCAAATAGTATACAAATAAATGAAAAAAAAAACTGATTCCTGAACACATTCTAATTCACAGGTACATTCGTTATATTTACAAGATATTAATTTAAGAATGTGCCCACTTACACCATAAGAAAGTAAAGGTCAAATTTGAATTTAATATCTAATAAAAACATTGCAATAACTTTGGTTGTTAGAATATTACATTAGAGCTGTTTAATACAAAATGTTATATTCCATAATAATCGTTAAGAATTATATTTGAATATGATCGATTCTCCACCAAAAACTAACACGAAACGTCGATAACTCAAATACGCCTATGAACTAATGACACCTATTACAATAATGAACAAAATGTATTTATCGTATAGAAAATATATTCATTAGTATTAAAAATTGACGATTTTAACAAATTTTTGAGTGTTAAAAATGCAACGAAAAAAGAAATGAAATGAAACTAAATTATTATATATATTATTATTAAATAAAACACTTATTTAAAATGAATCATTATTAAAGTACGTACGCTCGCTTAACACACATTATATTAATATTGTGATGACAGCGATAAAAGTAAATACAAAAACAAACGCGAAATTAGCATATCAATTTTATATTAATCAAATAAGTACATTTTAATTAAATAATTAATTCTGAATAAAGTTAAAATTTATTTTGAAATTAACCTACAAATGTATAAGAGTATTTACTTCTATCAAAGATAAATTAATAAACCACATGCGTTAACTTAAATTAACAATATATCATTAATAAACAGTAAAAAAAAAAAAAAAAAAAAAAAAAAAAAAAAAAAAACAATAGAATATTAGAAAATACTTAGTATAGTATAGTAGTTTAGAACTAATTATGCATATTGGACTCCCACAGAACGTATAATTACTACTTCCAAATGTATAAATGAAAAGGAAATGAATCTAAGACTGCGAAAATAAATAAATATGTATTTTTTGAATTACTGATACGTACGAGAAACTATGGTATATTCAGATATATAATTCACAATGGTATATTCGGAGTTTAATTTTAAAACCTATCAAACTCTATAGCAATCTAAAATTAAATTAAATTAAATTAAAAAACTTTTTTAATATAATTTTACTCTGAAAATTGTACAATAAAATTTAAGTGATACAAATAAATACAATTTATATAAAAAAGTACATTTATACACGAGTAAAAATAATTCAATAGAACGTATAAAGTTTCAGATGTATTAAAAAGTTAAATCTTACATTATAGACAAAAACGTATGTTTTAAGACTATACACTGTAACAATAGCCACTATGACGGTACAAAAAAAATTAAAAATAAATATCTACAATCTACACGAGAGTACATAGAATTCCTCAATTTGGCCCTTATGTCATTCTAAAGTTAATACTTTAATAATTAAATATAGTTGATAACAATGGTTTAATACTTTCTTAAACCCAGATCTAATAAGATCTAATTTTAAAAAAAAATATCACTAAGCTTATATAAATACAAATAAAAACAATTAAAATAAAACAAATTACACTTATTCAAGAGTACAAAGAATTCAATAGAGTAAATAAGGTTTCAAACATAATAAACAGTTAAAATCTTACATACTAGGTAACAACTTATATCTAAAGACTTATACACTACTCGTGAGACCACTGTAACAATGGCCGCTATGATGGTATAAGAAAAATTAAAAATAAACATCTACCGTCTACACGGGAGTGGATAGCGATTCTCTCAGTAGGTCCTTATTTAGTTCTAAATTTAATATTAAGATCTAATTTTTTATTATTAAGAAATAAATATCAAAAATGTACATAAAGAAAAAACACCAAATAAATTACACGATTATCTATATCTTTTAAGCTAATAGCTTGTATTAGAGATAGAGACTAATACAATATAATAATAACTATTTATGAATAACATTTTAAAAGATTTACGTTATATTATTTAGATAATTTATTATTTTATTATTAATATTTAGAAAATAAATTTGCGAACATGAAAAATGAAAAATATTTAATTAGGATTAAAATATTAGGTATCTGCTAAAATAAATAAAATATGATTGGTTGATATAGTTTTCGTAAATAAAATCCTAATTTGGTCTCCATTTATAAAAATTCAACACGCCTGTTGTTTTATTTCTCGTGAATTTTTAATTATTGAATTATGTTTGAAAATTAATTTATGTGAACTCCTAACAAGTTAGGTTATATTAAATATCTGTAAGATATACAATTTTTATTTAAGTGTCATAGCCCCCATTTTTTATTTTTGCTATTCAAAAACTGGGGAAATAAAATACTTACAAGTGTTAAAAAATAATAATAATTATAGGTAACTAAAAAATATAGACAATATTTATTTGGACGTGTGAAATGTAAACATGAATAGTATAAGGTATAGGGTAATTCGGCGTATAGGGATATTTGGAAATATATATCAAAACCAAATTCTAAAGCATTTTCATATAGAATTTTAATTTCAGAAAAATATTAGCTGCATTGTTAATGAAAATAAGTATAACTTATAATGTAACATAATATTAAAAACTTACATCTAGAGACTATACAACATACGCGAGCCCACTTAAATGGCCACTATAATGGTATAAATACCGTTTCCACGAGTGTGTATAGTTTAATAATTAAATTAATAGTAATAGTTTAATTACATTAATACTAATGCAATTGCGTGTCCTTATCTCATCCTAAAATTAATATTAAATAATTTTATACTAAAATAAATAAATTTAATTAGTAAGGTCTAAATTAAAAAAAAAATAAAAAAAAAAAAAAAAATATGGTACCTTGATAAAGGAGAAATAAATAATTTACTTAAATTATAATTTATTATTATAGTTAAGTTAGAATAGGCTTTTAATTTAATAACCTATGTTTTAAGGTATGTATAGTTATAACTAAAAGGCGCTCACGTGCAAACACGTACAGTGTACAATTGTTATTTTAAAAGTAATTCAAATAAGTCTCAATTTCAGAATGTTCAACACACGTAAAATAATATATATAAAAATGCCGTTAAAGTAAAGAATGTACACTTATACATGAATAAAATCAATTTAATAGAAAAATAAAGTTTCAGATGTAATAAATAGTTAACATCTTAAATACTAGGTAATAACTTATATCTAGAGACTATACATCACCCGCGAGCCCACTGTCACAATGGCCGCTATGACGGTATACAAATAATCAAAAATATCTACCGTCTCCACGGGAGTGTATAGTTGTTATTCAATGGGTCCTTATCTCGTCATAAACTTAATATTAAGAAAGTTAAATTTAACTTACAAATTAATGATAAATTTTATTAGGTAGATTTACTTTTAAAAAATTTAAATTTACTCTCGTAGTCAAGGAAAAATAAATATTTAACCTAGTTAATTTTATATTAAAATATTTTTTTTTTTAAACTACAATTTTATATTTTAACACATGTATTAATTTGTACACTATTTATAACTAAAATGTGACTTGTAAAAAAAGTAGCTATGATATCGGTTTTTACGAGGTCAAATAATATCCATTTCAATAGCGGTCTATAAATCAACTAATTAATCGTACTATATGCTTATTAACTTATTTGCAATAATACTAGATTTATGATCAAATTAAAAATATTTGTATTTTTATGTGTTTTTAAAAGCAGATGAAAATTAGACATTTTGCAAATTGAATCCCTTCCTGAGGTGTCATCAGAACGCATGAAATCTGTGCAACTACGTAGGTTTGTTCGATATTTTAATTTTTAAGCGATTCGAGCATCAAAATACTGAAATATTTCATATATGCATAATTTACTTAACAATTAAAGTAGGTATCGAAGACAATCGGTATAGATCTACAGATAATTTTCTTATCCTTAAATTTGTAAATTAGTCAATTCACGCTAATATTAAAACGAACAGCATAATAATATTTTTGATAAATAAAAATACGAGAAATACTTTTGTGCAAGTAGATGGGGTGTCATTTAAAGTATATAACTTGAAATAATGTAATCTAAACGTGTTGCTCAATATAATAAATAATAACGATTACTGTAATTTTAATGTCAGTTTATAATAAGTTTTTAATTTTAATTTTAAAGATAAACAAAAATAGTTTATATATTTAATTATTAGAGATAAAAATAAGTTTATATACTGAAAATATTGTTTTTTCATTTTTAGCGCGTATAGTTTAATTTATTAATTATATATTACAAATTATACTTTTTGGAAAATGTCATAGAGAAAATGAATAGTGCCTATCAACTAAATCAGAGGATCTAATTTAATAAATTAATTAAATAATTCAAACCGGGTTCTTTCAAACTCTAAAAGGTAACCAAACGAAAGAATGTAAATAGAACATTTCAAATAACATAATCAAACAATTATTCCACTTGTTGCGTAGATCAAAGTAAAGGCGGTTCGTGACTTTCATCGGCGTTTATTAACACTATAACTGGTTAGGACAGTTAATAGATTTGTATATCCAGATGGTGAAAAATTAAAAGAAATAAATTAGTTTTACAATTTTTCATGAAGAAATTATTTAAGACTAACTGAATTTTGATTAAGAACAACAATTAACTAATTATAAGTAGGGAATAGCAAAGTAATTAGTTGTCAGTGAGTTTTTAGTAAGCTTTATATAAATGCAATTAGTAATATATGCTTGATTATATGACAAATTATAGTACCCAGATGTATTTGTGAAAATGTAGTAACACAAAATATGTATACAGGTAACAATTTTATGCAGAGATATTGATGATTTTATAAAATATATTATATAAATAGTTAGTAGATAGAATTTATGCTATACTTAAATGTTAATATAAACAACTATATGAATTATTACTATACCATATTAGTGAATTGATGCAGGTGAGACTGAATAATTGATGTTGAACAAATTATTGAAGTAGTTTTAGTATCAAAGATTATGAAACATGATACACACGAAGATAAGAATATCCAATATTGAAATATGGACATCGCTGATGAACTAAAATAACAGATAAAATAAAATTAAGGTTAGAGAAAAAAAAAAAAAATATACGAATTCAAAAATTCTACCAAAAATCTTTGATTGTAAAAGAAAGTTTCATTTCTATAAAACAGTATTTAAAGCAGCTCAGAAAATCTAAAATTAAAAGGTATACTTAAATAAAGGGAAAATATGAAGAATCAAAAAAAATTTTTTTTAAATGTATTACCTGATACATATTAATGTCATTGAACCATAAAAAAAGTGAGTTTAACGCCATCACAAGGGCGAAAGAGAAAATGACGAAATCCACCGAGTGACATTCATATGAGATTTCCCAACCACATTTAATAGATCTTATTACGTTCTTTTCTGGATACATCCGAGTTCGAAGATGTTGACATATCGTCTGAAAAATAATTCGTAGTATAATAAACATTAAATGGTTTATAATTAAATGTATAAATATTGGAGAGCGGTTTTTAAATTTTAGAGATTACGTTAAAAACTTAAATAGACTTGAGAAAAAAAGTAAAAAAATATTTATTAGTTATATCAATTTTTTAATATATTACCAGTTACATCTAAGTGTCAATAAACCTTGACAAAGGTAGAATAAACGCCACATCAATGCGAAAAAGATGATGACGAAATTCACCGAATGCCATAAAAATGTGATATTCCAACCACATTTTAAAGGACTTATTAACTTCTCTTCCGGATACATCCGATTACGAAGATGTCAGCATTTCGTCTAAAAGTAAATCGTCATTAACATAACATTGTAACGTTTGAAGTAAAAATTATAAAGAAAAAATCAATTGTTTGTCTTTAGAAATTACGTTAAGAAATTTAATTGACATAACAATTACGTATGGAAAGGTATGAGTTATATCATTAATTTAATAAATTACCTGTTACATCTAAGTGTCAATAAACCATGACAAGGGTGAGTTAAACGCTAGCTCTAGCGTAAATGAGGATGTCGCAATCCACCGAATGACATTCATATGAGATTTCCCAACCACATTTAATAGATCTTATTACGTTCTTTTCTGGATACATCCGAGTTCGAAGATGTTGACATATCGTCTGAAAAATAATTCGTAGTATAATAAACATTAAATGGTTTATAATTAAATGTATAAATATTGGAGAGCGGTTTTTAAATTTTAGAGATTACGTTAAAAACTTAAATAGACTTGAGAAAAAAAGTAAAAAAATATTTATTAGTTATATCAATTTTTTAACATATTACCAGTTACATCTAAGTGTCAATAAACCTTGACAAAGGTAGAATAAACGCCACATCAATGCGAAAAAGATGATGACGAAATTCACCGAATGCCATAAAAATGTGATATTCCAACCACATTTTAAAGGACTTATTAACTTCTCTTCCGGATACATCCGATTACGAAGATGTCAGCATTTCGTCTAAAAGTAAATCGTCATTAACATAACATTGTAACGTTTGAAGTAAAAATTATAAAGAAAAAAATCAATTGTTTGTCTTTAGAAATTACGTTAAGAAATTTAATTGACATAACAATTACGTATGGAAAGGTATGAGTTATATCATTAATTTAATATATTACCTGTTACATCTAAGTGTCAATAAACCATGACAAGGGTGAGTTAAACGCTAGCTCTAGCGTAAATGAGGATGTCGCAATCCACCGAATGACATTCATATGAGATTTCCCAACCACATTTAATAGATCTTATTACGTTCTTTTCTGGATACATCCGAGTTCGAAGATGTTGACATATCGTCTGAAAAATAATTCGTAGTATAATAAACATTAAATGGTTTATAATTAAATGTATAAATATTGGAGCGCGGTTTTTAAATTTTAGAGATTACGTTAAAAACTTAAATAGACTTGAGAAAAAAAGTAAAGAAATATTTATTAGTTATATTAATTTTTTAACATATTACCAGTTACATCTAAGTGTCAATAAACCTTGACAAAGGTAGAATAAACGCCACATCAATGCGAAAAAGATGATGACGAAATTCACCGAATGCCATAAAAATGTGATATTCCAACCACATTTTAAAGGACTTATTAACTTCTCTTCCGGATACATCCGATTACGAAGATGTCAGCATTTCGTCTAAAAGTAAATCGTCATTAACATAACATTGTAACGTTTGAAGTAAAAATTATAAAGAAAAAAATCAATTGTTTGTCTTTAGAAATTACGTTAAGAAATTTAATTGACATAACAATTACGTATGGAAAGGTATGAGTTATATCATTAATTTAATAAATTACCTGTTACATCTAAGTGTCAATAAACCATGACAAGGGTGAGTTAAACGCTAGCTCTAGCGTAAATGAGGATGTCGCAATCCACCGAATGACATTCATATGAGATTTCCCAACCACATTTAATAGATCTTATTACGTTCTTTTCTGGATACATCCGAGTTCGAAGATGTTGACATATCGTCTGAAAAATAATTCGTAGTATAATAAACATTAAATGGTTTATAATTAAATGTATAAATATTGGAGAGCGGTTTTTAAATTTTAGAGATTACGTTAAAAACTTAAATAGACTTGAGAAAAAAAGTAAAGAAATATTTATTAGTTATATTAATTTTTTAACATATTACCAGTTACATCTAAGNACGCCACATCAATGCGAAAAAGATGATGACGAAATTCACCGAATGCCATAAAAATGTGATATTCCAACCACATTTTAAAGGACTTATGAACTTCTCTTCCGGATACATCCGATTACGAAGATGTCAGCATTTCGTCTTAAAGTAAATCGTCATTAACATAACATTGTAAAGTTTGAAGTAAAAATTATAAAGAAAAAAATCAATTGTTTGTCTTTAGAAATTACGTTAAGAAATTTAATTGACATACCAATTACGTATGGAAAGGTATGAGTTATATCATTAATTTTATAAATTACCTGTTACATCTAAGTGTCAATAAACCATGACAAGGGTGAGTTAAACGCTAGCTCTAGCGTAAATGAGGATGTCGCAATCCACCGAATGACATTCATATGAGATTTCCCAACCACATTTAATAGATCTTATTACGTTCTTTTCTGGATACATCCGAGTTCGAAGATGTTGACATATCGTCTGAAAAATAATTCGTAGTATAATAAACATTAAATGGTTTATAATTAAATGTATAAATATTGGAGCGCGGTTTTTAAATTTTAGAGATTACGTTAAAAACTTAAATAGACTTGAGAAAAAAAGTAAAGAAATATTTATTAGTTATATTAATTTTTTAACATATTACCAGTTACATCTAAGTGTCAATAAACCTTGACAAAGGTAGAATAAACGCCACATCAATGCGAAAAAGATGATGACGAAATTCACCGAATGCCATAAAAATGTGATATTCCAACCACATTTTAAAGGACTTATTAACTTCTCTTCCGGATACATCCGATTACGAAGATGTCAGCATTTCGTCTAAAAGTAAATCGTCATTAACATAACATTGTAACGTTTGAAGTAAAAATTATAAAGAAAAAATCAATTGTTTGTCTTTAGAAATTACGTTAAGAAATTTAATTGACATAACAATTACGTATGGAAAGGTATGAGTTATATCATTAATTTAATAAATTACCTGTTACATCTAAGTGTCAATAAACCATGACAAGGGTGAGTTAAACGCTAGCTCTAGCGTAAATGAGGATGTCGCAATCCACCGAATGACATTCATATGAGATTTCCCAACCACATTTAATAGATCTTATTACGTTCTTTTCTGGATACATCCGAGTTCGAAGATGTTGACATATCGTCTGAAAAATAATTCGTAGTATAATAAACATTAAATGGTTTATAATTAAATGTATAAATATTGGAGAGCGGTTTTTAAATTTTAGAGATTACGTTAAAAACTTAAATAGACTTGAGAAAAAAAGTAAAAAAATATTTATTAGTTATATCAATTTTTTAATATATTACCAGTTACATCTAAGTGTCAATAAACCTTGACAAAGGTAGAATAAACGCCACATCAATGCGAAAAAGATGATGACGAAATTCACCGAATGCCATAAAAATGTGATATTCCAACCACATTTTAAAGGACTTATTAACTTCTCTTCCGGATACATCCGATTACGAAGATGTCAGCATTTCGTCTAAAAGTAAATCGTCATTAACATAACATTGTAACGTTTGAAGTAAAAATTATAAAGAAAAAAATCAATTGTTTGTCTTTAGAAATTACGTTAAGAAATTTAATTGACATAACAATTACGTATGGAAAGGTATGAGTTATATCATTAATTTAATAAATTACCTGTTACATCTAAGTGTCAATAAACCATGACAAGGGTGAGTTAAACGCTAGCTCTAGCGTAAATGAGGATGTCGCAATCCACCGAATGACATTCATATGAGATTTCCCAACCACATTTAATAGATCTTATTACGTTCTTTTCTGGATACATCCGAGTTCGAAGATGTTGACATATCGTCTGAAAAATAATTCGTAGTATAATAAACATTAAATGGTTTATAATTAAATGTATAAATATTGGAGCGCGGTTTTTAAATTTTAGAGATTACGTTAAAAACTTAAATAGACTTGAGAAAAAAAGTAAAGAAATATTTATTAGTTATATTAATTTTTTAACATATTACCAGTTACATCTAAGTGTCAATAAACCTTGACAAAGGTAGAATAAACGCCACATCAATGCGAAAAAGATGATGACGAAATTCACCGAATGCCATAAAAATGTGATATTCCAACCACATTTTAAAGGACTTATTAACTTCTCTTCCGGATACATCCGATTACGAAGATGTCAGCATTTCGTCTAAAAGTAAATCGTCATTAACATAACATTGTAACGTTTGAAGTAAAAATTATAAAGAAAAAAATCAATTGTTTGTCTTTAGAAATTACGTTAAGAAATTTAATTGACATAACAATTACGTATGGAAAGGTATGAGTTATATCATTAATTTAATAAATTACCTGTTACATCTAAGTGTCAATAAACCATGACAAGGGTGAGTTAAACGCTAGCTCTAGCGTAAATGAGGATGTCGCAATCCACCGAATGACATTCATATGAGATTTCCCAACCACATTTAATAGATCTTATTACGTTCTTTTCTGGATACATCCGAGTTCGAAGATGTTGACATATCGTCTGAAAAATAATTCGTAGTATAATAAACATTAAATGGTTTATAATTAAATGTATAAATATTGGAGAGCGGTTTTTAAATTTTAGAGATTACGTTAAAAACTTAAATAGACTTGAGAAAAAAAGTAAAGAAATATTTATTAGTTATATTAATTTTTTAACATATTACCAGTTACATCTAAGTGTCAATAAACCTTGACAAAGGTAGAATAAACGCCACATCAATGCGAAAAAGATGATGACGAAATTCACCGAATGCCATAAAAATGTGATATTCCAACCACATTTTAAAGGACTTATTAACTTCTCTTCCGGATACATCCGATTACGAAGATGTCAGCATTTCGTCTAAAAGTAAATCGTCATTAACATAACATTGTAACGTTTGAAGTAAAAATTATAAAGAAAAAAATCAATTGTTTGTCTTTAGAAATTACGTTAAGAAATTTAATTGACATAACAATTACGTATGGAAAGGTATGAGTTATATCATTAATTTAATAAATTACCTGTTACATCTAAGTGTCAATAAACCATGACAAGGGTGAGTTAAACGCTAGCTCTAGCGTAAATGAGGATGTCGCAATCCACCGAATGACATTCATATGAGATTTCCCAACCACATTTAATAGATCTTATTACGTTCTTTTCTGGATACATCCGAGTTCGAAGATGTTGACATATCGTCTGAAAAATAATTCGTAGTATAATAAACATTAAATGGTTTATAATTAAATGTATAAATATTGGAGCGCGGTTTTTAAATTTTAGAGATTACGTTAAAAACTTAAATAGACTTGAGAAAAAAAGTAAAGAAATATTTATTAGTTATATTAATTTTTTAACATATTACCAGTTACATCTAAGTGTCAATAAACCTTGACAAAGGTAGAATAAACGCCACATCAATGCGAAAAAGATGATGACGAAATTCACCGAATGCCATAAAAATGTGATATTCCAACCACATTTTAAAGGACTTATTAACTTCTCTTCCGGATACATCCGATTACGAAGATGTCAGCATTTCGTCTAAAAGTAAATCGTCATTAACATAACATTGTAACGTTTGAAGTAAAAATTATAAAGAAAAAAATCAATTGTTTGTCTTTAGAAATTA